ATTGATACACAGAGGGAGATCTGGTCTGACAAGCATATTGTGAAGGTCTTGAACACCACATGTGCTTCTGAAAATTCAGCTTAGGTCTTTCCTTACTATATGGTTTTACAGATGCTATCCCAGGAAAAATGCAATTTAAATAGGAAATATTGTGGATTTAGTGGCCTGTTCATCAGCGTGTGCACTTTTTTTCATCTAGAAGTGTTTTGCTAAAGTTCCTTTGAGCAAGAAAGCTCTGCATCTGAAATACAAGCTTTCAGAGGCATAGAGAGGTAGGTGATTGCTCATTAAAATGGGACAAAGCAGTATGTCCTGAGCAAAGGGAAGGAGCTCTGTCATATCTTTCAGAGTGGGAAGGTCTATTTCCCATTTTGCTGTGTTGGGCTTGGTCATCCTAATGCACATGTTCCATTCCAGTTGCCCAGCTATTGTCTTCTCCATCTGAAAGATGACCCCTTTGTTACAATACATTGGTATTTGTGATTGCAAGTAGAGACTCATTTCTGTCAGCAGTCTTTCTTGTCATCAGAAGCAAAACAGGGCAAKGTAACTAATATTAAAAGTAGGGATAAAATGTTTTTGGTTTTTTTTAAAGGAGTACATTGTTTACAAAATTGGGTTGAACAAAGGGCTTGCTGCTGAGTGACTTCCTGGCAACACGAGAGTCTAAGGCTGCTGCTGAAATTTGGACTAAAAAGATGACTGATTGTCATTCTTCAATACTTTTGAGTATGAGAGGCAGAAATTCTCTGTGCCCTTAAATACTGAACTTCCAGGATTAACCTGAGCCAAAGGCAGTAAAAGAAGAAATTCTTCAGATCTTTCTCCCCATGTTTGTCAATAAACCTCAATCACGGCCTGAGATAATCTTGATATCCCAGTCTTGTGTTGTTTAGATAAACACTGTCAAAACACAAGTTCTGTGCTGGTTTTCTGTAATGCTAATAAATACCTTTCAGACTTAGGTTGAGGCCCCCAAACTATTTTCATCTGTATTTTTGCTCAGACTTGTGAAAGCTTAAAACTGTAGCATATTATTATGCCACTGTTTACCTAACCACAGTCTTCTAAAGCATTTCTCCTATACATAAATCAAAGGCTCCAATTATCTTCCTCTGTTATGCATAAGCTGGGAAGTAACTCTTTCTAGAAAGACAGAGTTCCAAAGAAAATTGAAATAAATCAATGTTACTATAAATCTTTAGTGGGCAAGGACTATTTTCATTCTGTGTTTTTAGTGACCATACAGGGTCCTTTTACTATGATCCAGTTAATTCTCCAAATGTGCCTACTTATCTGTTTGACAATAGCCAAGAGAAATTATGTCCTACAGTTTTTTCAGGTCTTACAGCCAGATCTGTCTTTTGGTATTTCTTACAGGTGGTTTGGGCTGATGGGTCTGATCTCCATCGCTGTCATCTCAGTTTGCTCAGGAAAGAAATGGTTATGCCACTTGAAAGCGGTAGACTTCATAGCAATTCTCAGAGCATTTCAAAAGCAAATCTTGTAACATTTAGGGACTTTCTGGGATCAGTTACCAGATTAGTACCAGTCAGTAAAAGCAATAGTTTTCAAAGTAATAACTGCATTTCTTATAAAAGCATTAGGTGTTCATATTGTAAAATGAACTGAGGTTGCATTTGTCAGATTGCATTTTGTAAGAAGCTATGGAGACTTCAAGGCGTATCATCTGGTTTTCTGCACGCAAAAAATGCCAAAGYATTTTTGTAGGAGGGCAGGTCTTCTGCTAGATCGCAGAAAGATCCACTAGGCACTAAACATATAAAACAGAGACAGAGATTTGTAACTGATAAACTTCTACTTTAGTACAATCAACTCGAATAAGTTGCATCTCTTCAACAGTGTTCCAGTTTAGATCGACACGTTGGGCGGTGTGTGACTCCCAGCCAAACATCTTGTTAAATACTTGCAGGATTTCCCATAGCGGATCTTACTTTAATCAAATAATTCAAACATTTCTTTTGTAAGTACAATAGAAGGGCAGGGCTTGTGTTTACAAAGTATTCAGTATGGAAATCCTGTATTAATTGAGGTACATTTRCTTCACTTAGGACAGTGTCCACATAGTAACTCTATAAATAAAAGGCCTTTTGCTGTTGCCTATTCCAGAGAGGCCATCACATGCAATGTTAACCCATCACATACAGAAAACCATGAGGAAAGAGCTTCAGAGGTGTGCAATGTAAGCAGCAGAGATGGTCCTATCTAAAGAAGACAACTTTAGGGTTGATATTCTCACTGTGAATGTAAAAGAATATAACTTATAAGAAGTAGTTTTATCCCTGTGGAAACTACTAAATAAAAAGGCCATGTCTTTCTCAGTCTTATTTCAAGAATGATTAGCAGGAGCAATGCCAGATGTTGTGCTTTTATAATACCATGGATTCATATAAGCTGGGATTTAAATTATTATCTCTCTAAGGTAGCAGCTGTGTTTTCTGTGAGTAAACAGCGTGTGCCTCTACCCTGCCCAATGCAGAATCTGGAGCTTTCATGATTAACAGTAAAGCATTTAGAGTTTTACATAAAGAAGGTATARAAAGGAAAGGAAATACTATTATTCAGGGATAATATCATTACTCAGTGAAAGGTATTCTGAAACCAGAGTAATGCATCTATGAATTCCTTATTTTGCTGTGCCAGAAAATGCCAGAATCAAAATAACCCACATACGAAGAATTAAACAGCGAATCAACATTTTCCTCCACAGCAAGTTGGAAATTACATGTTGCTTCTATGTTTAATACAGTGAAGGCTTTTTTCCTTTTTTTTCCTTGAATTATAACTCTGCTATAGTTGAAAATATATTTTTGCCAGTGCATTAAATACCTGGCAAAAGGGGTGTTCTAGAACATTTTTAGGTAAATGTAGGTCAACACAAAGGAATCATACAGTTGGAAATATTTTCCAGTGTTTATGTTCAGATGTTCAGACCTGTCTGGCTCCTCACTATTTGCATGTGTTGGGGTTATAGGCAGTCCGGCTACATTCCACATTGATTTATATAAATATATTGCAAATTATTAACCTCCAGCCAAATACCAGCAAATTTCACTTTTCAGGAAGATTTGTGACTTTTCACAAAGCTTATTTACTGTGTACAGGACATGTGCACCCCATTGATGGAATCTTAGAGTTTGTCATTATGAGAAATGTGCCAAGACGTTTTCTTTTACAGTCACTATGTTACCAAAATCATTAATGTTTGGTTGTTCATGTGATGATTACAGATTAAGTATAGATTAGTCTTCTAGTAGAGGCAGGGTGACAGTCTCTCCACATTCTGGAACTCTGGTTCCCAATTTTTTACTCACTGAAAAGCTTCCTTAACATAAAATTAATGTACATGCATCAGTCTTCCAAATATGGTGGCTAATGAACAATTTCTRAGTGTCTGACCAAAGATTATTTAGGAAATGCTGTCAAAGTGGGAGCACAGCCTTACTGTGGTAGATGTCAAGTGAAAAATACTGCTGTCTAAAACCGAGATTACATTCTTCCCAGGTGGTTATGCTAATTCTAGTCTTCCCTTCTCTTGTGAAATGTATTGAGATTTAAGCTAAGAAGTAAAATCTCAGTTCAAGATCTCAAGTATGTGTTGTCCTAGTCTGTTTGTCAGATGTCCTTTGTGAAAAGCAGGAGCCCTCAAGTCTTTGTGTGTGATCAGTTGTCTTCAGATCCTGCTTATAAAGCCTTTGATCCTTGAACAAATGACAAAAATATTACTTGATAACATTACCAGAAATCCTCCTCTTCATAATTGTAATAAAGTACTTATAAGTAAGAGGATGAAAGATACAAATAATACAACATTACTACTATGATGTCAGAAAAAAATAAGCTGTCTCATCGATATCAGTTTGGTCTGTTATCAGTGAGAGACTCCTCTGYTTCTATCTAAACCTTTTTCTCAGTAACTCCATTCATTTCCTGTCACCTAGTAAAAGTAGCAATTGATTTTTCTGCCTCGCCTGAGAGAGAAATGCGATCTGATCTGTACAGTATAAAATGAAATGAATAAGCATATGAGTAAAGTATGTGAGCAGGGAAGAAATGTTCTTCTGGTTGTTAAGGTGGTTTCCTATTAGGATTTTGTAGAAGTGGGGTTTGAGGAAAGATAGTGAAAGTCATTGGTGTGAATRTAAGTGTGAAGCATAGAAAGATGGGCTGATTTTTTGAAAGAGATAAAACAGTGGTTAAAGCTGGCATGGTAGATGAAGTGGAGAAGATGAGAGAAATCCTACTTTAAAAGAGAAAACAACAGAAAATACAGTAATCAGATAGGAATGTGGTATTATGAAGAGCTTTGTAAATTAGTTTGATGTTGTGCAACAAGGTGAAATGGTAAAAGTTTCAGTAAAAGAATSACCGAAATTGATAAAAGAAGTAGTGACATGTTGTGCACAAAGCTTTTTTCCAAACTATATATGACTGAAGGAATTCCTCGCATCCAGGAATTTGCAAGAGGAATCAGCAAAAAAAATCCTTTTGCTGCTGAAGGAGATTTAATTATAGAGGTGTGTAATGGTGAACATGGGAGTTATGTGAAAAAAAAACAAACCTGAAGGTGCATGCAAACACTCTGTGATTTTTTTCTGAAAAACATTTCCTGCTTTTTTTTTAGTAACTGTAAGTGCTGGAGCCTAGAATGTGGATAAGCACCAAGTAATTTTGTGTATTAACTCTAGTTGCTAGTGTCAAAAAAAAAATTCTTTACATGTAATTATTTTGCACTCAACAGCTGATGAGTTCTTATTAATWAATCCTATTTCAGAATTCACAAGTKTAAGACTGAGATGGTAATTTTGATATTTCACCTGTTACCTGATAAATCAATAGCTCAGAGATTGGTCTACTTTTGGAGGGCTCTTTTCCATTCTATGTACTGTAATAAATTCAAATATACATGCTTGAGATGCAAGGTATGTCTGTACCGGTTCCTGTATACTTAACCTCTTGTGTTCTTTCCCTCCTCTCAGATTGTTTGATGTGTGCACCGTGTCACGAACAGACAGAGAGACCAAGTTAACGTTAGTGTTTGAACATGTGGATCAAGACTTGACTACTTACTTGGATAAAGTTCCAGAGCCYGGAGTGCCTACTGAAACTATAAAGGTATTTAAGGAGAAGGATTTTAGGGGATAATATTTCAGAGATAAATCAGAGAGACAAACTGTGTTTTGATTCCATAGGATTTTCTTACATCAAAAGTGAGTAGTGCCCAGCTTGGGACATGAACTGAGTAACAGATACAATCCCTTTGTGGAAATACTGCGCTTGTAGTTTCTTTCCTCTTTCAGAGTTCTAAATTTCCTGAACCTCTACTGTTTTAGCAAATGTARCATTCAAGCACAGGAAGGACATGGATCTGTTGGAGCAAGCCCACAGCAGGGTCACCAGGTTGATTAGAGGGATGGAGCACTTGTCTTATGAGGAAAGGCTAAGAGAATTGGGATTGTTCAGCCTTAGAGGTGACCTAATTGCAGCCTTCCAGTACCTCAAGGGAGCCTACAAGAAACATGGAGACTATTTACAGGAGCATGTAGTGACAGGAAAAGGGGGAGTGGTTTGAAACTGAAAGATGTTTAGATTAGATATTAAGAAAGAATTTTTTAMTGCGAGGGTGGTGAGACACTGGAACAGGTTGCCCAGAGAAGTTACGGCTGCCCCACCCTGGATGTGTTCAAGTACAGGTAGGATGGAGCTCTGAGCTACCTGGTGTAGTGAAAGGTGTCATTTTGCATAGCAGCAAGTTTGAAATTAGATGATTTTTAAAGTCTCTTTCAATACCAGTATGGCCATTCTATGATTCTGTGATTCTGTGATATCATTAAAAATGTTTGCTTGCAACTGCAGGCAGATGRTTCTGTTATTGTTTAGATGGAGACTACTTGAACCTTCCTCTTAGAGGTGAAGGGCTGGATATTGTTAGAATGGATAAAATAAATCCTGTGCTCCTTATCCCTTTTCCTTTGCCTTTTATTTCCTCAAGAGACTACTTTCGTTATATGTCCTTCTTACCGGAATAGTGTCTGTACATTSTAGGAGCAAGAAATGTTCGTTGTGGAGCTGCGGTGAGCTCTGCAGAGAATGGGATGAATGAGGGGGGGCATCATGACCAGTTGTTATATAAGCTGGGAAGGCTCTCTGTAACTGGGAGGATGATCATGTAGTTTTATTGTCATGTTATCTATCTCATATTTTACATCTGTAAGGGAGGACCTCTACGTAGGATAGCATGTGCTTGCATTATTCTTAATAAAATGCATGTAGCAACTCCTCTGCTTTTCTGAGAATTTCACAGCAAAGTGCCACGTTTAGGATCATAGGTTGAAATGTTTAGCATAATGTTTATACCTGGGAGGAGAAGCAGAGGGATTGATGTTGCTACAATTTGACTGTCTGTTTAGCATTCCTTTTGATTTTMCTATTTTCATGAGAAGAAATGAATTAGGCTTTCAGAGATGCATTACCTTGCACRTGTATAAGTACTTTCTGGAAGTATGTTGTATGATCTCAGTCTGGCAAAAGACCCCGGGGAGGAAAGAAAACATGAAAACTATTGGAAAAGTAGTTGTTTCAACAATTTTTTTTAACAGCTTCAAGCTTAGGAGGTGTTTGATATTTCAATATAAAATTAGAACTAAAGTGGATAAGGAATATTCGCTGGTGTCAGTCACATATAAGGATATTCACTGGTGTCAGTCACATATGTATAATGTCAGTCAGTTCCAGCAACCATGTTTTTAACCAACCWGAATGGATAAAGTAAAATTTTTGAGAAATGGGTACAGCTTTGATTCAGTCAGAAGAAGACTGGAATGTACCTATTATACTGTAGGACTATTTTATGATAATGCTATTAAGGTTCTATTTTCCTTTTCAGACTTAGAAGCTACTTAAGTGAACTGTATTTCATCTCAACTAACATTGTGAAAATAAAGTGCAAGGTGACTGGCATATTATCTAACTAAGTATAATGAAATTGATGGGAACTGAAAGACCAAGTCTCTGAAATCTCAGTTTGAAGGATCTTTTGATCCATTTTTCATTTAAAGGAAGTATACTACATGAGCATTGTTTTAAAGTATTTGCGATTTCCAAAAATCCTGTTCTAAAACTGCACTATTAGTCTTTAGCAGATATATTTGAATAAACATTTAATGGAGATTATCTACTGATGAAGGAAATTGTGCTTACTTCTGAAAAGTACTATTCTGCGTGCATGGTTTACTAGTTCGACCAAGTTGCTATATCTGATAGTTTGGCACAATGAAATAGAAAAGCCACACGGAAACAAAGAGGAGCAATTTTGGTCTTTTATGTACACTGCGTGTTTCTCAGCTTGTGGTACATAATCTCTTTTTAAATGGGTGAGGAAAAATGTAAAATTGCTATTTACTTGGTCATCACTGTTGATTTCAACATTTTCACAGTAGCTGATGTGTTTTTTCTTGAATTCTGTTTGGCACAAGAAGAAAAGAGAGATTTGGTTAACTTAAGTTGCACCCTGCTGCTTCATGTTTATGTCAAAATACSCAGTTTATGGAGGTAGTTTTGCGGATAGTCAGGGCTGATCACATGAGGAAGGGTCTCAAGGCTTGTTTATAGTACRTTTCAATACATTTCTAATTATACAATCTGTATGGATATTCCTGGTAGAAACTGAAGCAAAACTTATTTCTCCTGGATACTACGATTTTGTAGCAGCTGAGCATTTAACCCAGAGCAYATACATCGTTAAATGACTAATCTGACTTTTTATAGTTTGGCTTTTGAGGTTAATATGGATTTGTACTTCATTTATTTTCCAGAATTGCAGACAATTTGTGTAGAGTATTTCCCCTCACCACCAGCACAGTACAAAACAACTGCCAGTATTGTAAGACCATCTGTTAAAGTTCTGCATGTGTCAGCAACACAGAAGTGCCAAATGAGCCAAGTTAGCTCTGGATATCTTGAAGTTGAAGGATCTAATATACCTCTTTGGCACCATGGTGTAAAATCAGCAGTTGTTAGTGGAACTTGAATGACATAAAATTACTCTGAGAGAAGGATTGGCCCCAGAAGATCTTTTCTGTGTGAATTGACTACCATCGTTACATAACATTTAGGGAGGAGAAGCTCAGTTTTTGCTAGTTTTGGCCATGCTGGGTTTTTTGGTTACCAGCTGTCAAGAAATATAAGTGACACCAGTACTATTTACAGAATTTCCTTTATGTTTTGCAGGCAATAGTCAGACCATAGCAGTTCAGAGAAATTAACCAAACTGATCATTTAAACACTCCTAGATGCTTAACGCTGCTCAGCAATGCCTTTCTAATGCYTGATGTCCTGCAGTAGGAATCTCCCCAGCAGGTGTTTTAGGAAGACAGACAGGTGTCCATAACCTGTGATAGAAGAGAGGTAGTTTTCCCATGAGACATTGCYTGGTAGTGGGAATACTCACCCAGGATGTAGAGCAGACATGCTCACTTCCCCTTTCAGTCACCAGAAAACTGTGGTGTCCTCAGTCCACAGAAGTGTCCACAGTCCATTTCTGTGGCTCTGGCTTCTGAGTTCTAGGTTTATTCTGCACAGAGGAATTCTGAACCTTTTCTGCTGAAACCCTTCCCTTATTATTTAATGGAGTCTACTTTGGGCTAGAGGGATGGCAAACAGTGCTCCAAATACTTGTGGACATAGTGTTCACTTTTGAAAGGGAATGATATTCAGCTTTTAATCTGGTTAATAAGCCTTTGTAACTGCTGGACTGTAGTTACACTCACGCTTGCTGGCTTCCTCTGACTGACYTGATTAATACGTATTCCATATGGCATGAATCAGAATCAGCAATGACAACATCTTCCTTCTTTCCTCTCTACACATGTCTCCTCCCTTCTTTTCTTCCTGGGATACTCTTTAACTTTAGGGCAGTTTATGTGGAAATGGAAGGTATGAGTTCAGTTTCCTTTGGACACAGCTGTTAGTCATGCACAGGTCTTTGGTAATGTTAATGGTCTTAGCAGTTGAGCCTCTGAGAGACTTGGCTTATTAGGAACTTTTGTTAGTTGACATGCGGGTAGTGGAAGTGGGAATGACATGTCTGCCATAGAAAGATGATTTTTTTTTTTTTAAATAGTTAACAGATCACTAAAGCATTTTGATRGTTTAGCCTTTGGGACTGAATCATGTTTTAGCTGCGTGGTCACATTTTGTTCTGATGCTTGTGAGACTTACATGGGATTTTTGCTCCTAAGTAATTTTCATATGGATATGGTTATTATAATGCTAACTACATGTTTAATGTGGAAATCATGCATATGCAACCAAGATGATGTTTGTTGATTTAAGATATTGCAATGTATGTTACAATATTCAGCTTTAAATTAATCTGTGCATGTGATTGCTTGGTATATAAAGCTGTACATTGGTTAAGGAACGGTTCTTTGGAGTTCCTTCCAGTCATCTTGTTCTGCTGGACCAAAGAGTGTAGCAGTGAGAAGGGACAACAAACTGTTACCAAGGTTCTTTAATTTTAGTAATGAATGAAGTTAACTTTATGGGGTAATATCATTATAAGTAGACTTGTGGCTTCTTGCAGTAGTTTTAAAGAAATTTAGAATTCAGGCTACATGTGCTGTGTGGGCTGTGCCTGTTTGAATCAGACAGTCAACACAGGAGGGAACAGAACAAAGGTCTCCAGTATAGCAGGTGCATGTGTTATCTTTCCTGGGATGTTGCAAAAGCTGGGAATGTCCTTCTATCCGGGTCTGTGATATGTGAATCTTCATTATATTCCCTGCAGCCTTGAACAGGGCAGCCAAATCACAGAGTAAGCAGGGTTCAATGTATATGCTTTTCCTCTGTTGTGTCCTGGTTCCTCACCCAAGTGAATGGCTTCTGCTGCCGTTTTTTTGTTGTTGTTGTTGTTCTTTGCATAGAAAGCCTAAATATCCACTGATTTGGGTATCAGATTTTGGTATTTAGATGCCTAAAATTTAGAAAGTACAGCAGTGAACCTAATGCCCTTTTGTGGACTTATCTGATAGTTGCCCATAAATGGAATGTTTAAATATTAGTCCCAGTCAAAGAGTACATGTTGTTGTTGCATCCCTGTGCATTTCCATAACTCA